TTTGTAGTACCAATGCCGTGCAACACTTATAATGTTATGGAGATACGTCGTGACTTCCTTGATACATGAATGGATGGTTTTCATTAGTTGATAGTAGATAGATGGAGTAGTCTCGACTGCTGAAGGCAGAATAATATACTGGAATAAACGTTGATGATTATTGAAAGTAGGCAGCTCTCTTGATGATTCATCTACTTGCTTTTCAAATAATCACTGGCTAGATCTGAATTCGCGAAACATGTTCCACAATTCAGCAGAGTAAACATATCAGCGGGAACCGGCAGAGTCTAATGATACTGTTTTAGAGCTGCTTTGAGACCTGTAGAGAAAATAGCACACTTATGTATCGTGACATAGATCATCTTGATAAAAACTATGGGTGCTGACTGTGCAGGATAAGAAATGTGTGTAATAATAATAATAATCTGAGAACAGTGACCTTAGTCGGGTTAGAAAACAGTTGAAGACTGGGTCATCAGCTTGCTAGTATATGCTTCAGTTCGTGTGGTCGCGATAGCAGGTGTCATACGGGACATCGAAAAGTTAAGTTGGTCGAACCCCTCAAAAACAACGAAATTTAGATCAGCGGGGGTTACATGACATACCCCAGGAAAAATAAAAAAACTGTGAAAGCAAATTTGCGTTACGGCAGTACTAACAGAAGAAGGTAATACACACGAGGACTCAGAGTTTTTCGCTGCAGCCTTGATCTACCATATCGATCCGAAATGCAGGTGACATAACATTCACAAGTGTAATCTATAGGTATGCCTATGAAAAATAAGAGTAATTAGTTTTCTTTTGTCTTAGGACGAGCCTAAGCAAAAAGATGAATCGGAATAGGATAAATGATCCGTCTTTCTGTCTCTTTTTGAGCGTTTTTACTTACTCTTCGTAAAGAAAGCATGATCGACGGCCTTGCGATTCTCGCATCGATGTTGTCTTATTGAGCAGCTTCATGAATAGTGCCGTGCATCTCGATGTCAGCAGAGCACAGTGTAGACCATTCCACAGGTAACCGGAAAGTGCAAATTCAACAAGTACACAACTCAGACCTTATAAAACAATTAGATGGGTCTCAGTGGAAGACACAAAATAGAATTTCTTATTATCTCTTATTTAATGACAGTGGGAAATGCAAGCTGAAGGTGAACTTAGCGTCTTTGTCTGGAAAACAATCAAATTCAAAATTTCGAATATAAATTGCAACATTAGAACCTTAATCAAGTGATTTCTGAGATATCTAGTGGCATTACCATGACAATAACTTCAGAGTTCACCAGTTAAGTGCTCCACAAGCTACGTTTTCACACGCAACAGTTAAAGTTTGAATAACGACTATTATTCGAACAATTTCCTTCGTGCATTTTTGAATAACCTACTTCTTGAGCAAAATAGGCTTTTCTCAGTTCCTAATGTGGTTCCCGGAATGAATGATTTATTATTTCGAAGAATTTAAGTCTCTGTAAAATGTTTTAACCTCAGCCTTCTGTCCGGGTTTCTTCCCGTTTACTCATTCTTCATCACAATATTATCATTTCAAAATTGATTCTGGTAATCATCTTTAAATGACGAAAGAGACGTGCTAAGACAACGAACGTCTGAGACGAGGTTTTGACAACGATTAAAAACATCAGTGGTTTTATGGATGAGAACTTTGTCCATAATCAATATTTTGTCTCTGAAATACATTTTTAATAGATAATGGAAATATTCTGCCTAATGAATCCAGTTTTCTGTCTGATATTGCAGTGTGTCAGTCTGTGAGTGTGAATAATGAACGGAGGGAGTAGATTGCTTCCCTATATAATGTTGACACATTTATGTAATAATCTGCAAATGACATGAATTAAAATCATCAAAAGTTATTAAAGGTCAATCGGTGAACTGCGTTTCGTGTACGTTGTTACCTTTATCAACGAAAACAGATGTATCAAATGATCATTGGTCATAGTGCACTACGGGATTTTGAACAAACAAGTAGCATCAACATGAATGTTCTCCTCAAGAAGTTTTGAATGACAAGTCACGTTTGTAAAATAATGACATGGTAAATAATATGGGAACCCTCATTTACATTCCTCAAACGTACGTCCTAAGTCGCCACATTACTTCTTCACACTTGATCGATTGTGACGACAAATAAAGTAACGTTATCGTGATACTAAGCAATCATGGTGTCAATCTTGAAACCAGGCTTGTTGAAAAGTGATTATGCTTGAATTATGAAAACAAGGAATTACAGATCGTGGAACCCACATTTGATGATCGATACTTATGAACAATCAGTTGAAGCATGTGCTTCTGTAGTAAAGTTTACAGATGAATTTACTTTCATTATGAATTGATTTTTTTCACTCGGTGTACCTTGTGTTATATTTAAAGAATATGTGCTAATAATATTGTAATTTGAGTAGTTATTTGTAATGAAGTTCCGATGGATCGTCTATTATGAATCAGTGACATTACACTTTACGATGACCTGTATAATATATTCCACTAAAAATCAAGAACAAATTTAGTGCTTATGAAAGTATATTATGAATCGTAATGAATTATAAAAGATTGTCTATTACTGATTTAACGAGAATGAACAATTTTAGGAAGACATTGAAAGAAATAATTGACATGTAATAGCGAAACAATCATCAGTATCATATATTCAAACAAAAATATAAAACTCATATAAACTGCTGAGTAATCTTCCACTTTGATGTATTTCTTCAAATAGTATGCTGTCAGTGCAATAGCCTGTAATTAAGTAAACAGTTTTCTTCAGTTCGAAAGTTAATAGAGAAACTTAACACGACATATTTACCTTGAAGGAATAGAGGACATTCACTGATGGTCTTACTGTACAATCTCTAACATGTCACCATGATTTCAATTCTGAAAATGATCAGTCGGTGATTTGTTTTATTAATCGATCAGTCAAATATTCTCAGACCAGAATACTTATATGGACAGAAGAAACGAAGCGATTCATTAATCTTCAATAATCAACGTCTTGCTCTCTAGCAAATTTATGTAGCTTCTAAAACAATGAATCCACACACAAAAATCTAAAATGAATTATCTTTGTAAAAATAATCCAAAGTTATGTTTCCAGTGTGCAGTACGTTATTTAAAAATTCATGGTGTGCAGTGTGATATAAGTATATACATTTCTAATTCAACCGCTCAACAGAAACTTACGATAAACATAGCTTCGCACCAAAACATAGCTGAACAAATTGCGAGTACAATCTAGAATATAAATTACGAAAATATTTCACTTTAAATAATTTTGTGAGTATTTCATTTGTATTCATATAGCATTATTCACTCAAAGATATGCTGACTTTCTTGTATGATCGACACATAGAACACATAGAACAACACATATCAACGAGCAATATTATTTTCGAATAGATTGTCATCAAGCTCTACCTTACAAGATACATGATTATTTATATTAAAATGTATATCCAATCAAGGCAATTTGTATCAATATATATATTCATTGAAATACAAGCGTTCGTCCGAAACTTACAATAATCATTTTTTCTTGCCAGAGATTGTCTGATGTGGTAGGAAAAATAATCTGTAATGGACGGAAAGAAAATATTTCATTACAAATTATTTTGTGGATATTTGATCCGCATTTATAAAACACCGTACATTTGCAGATATGCTAACTGCCAAGACTATGTTAATAATGCAGTGTGTCATGTCCGAATTCGAGTAATTTTGTGTTCACAATATCTTTTCTATGCATCTTCACTCATTTTAGCGACCATTCGTTAAACAACAAATTAGTTGAATCATTCTCATTATGTGTGTTGGCTGTTATCACTGGTATGTATTAGAATAAAGTTATCGAAAGATGACAGAGGCAGAACAGGTGGAACGTCATCAACGGTCTTCGCTCAGTAGTAAAAACACGGACTTGTGTCCGTACAGTCGTATTTCATAAATTTTCAAATATTTTTGTGTGCATAAGATACTGAAAAGTGTTTCGTTTACATGATTATTGAGGCACATATTTTCATCTTATTTGTTGTATGTATATATATTATGGTTAGTTATTAGATGACATACATTAGTCATTCTGTAAAATCAAACCAGTAATCACTTCTCAAACTGTCAAGTTGATAATTCAAGAAAACTTACTTTACACATTTCATCGTAACTGCAGATTATACCTAAAATGCTGCAGACGAATGCAACTGCCACTAATGCGCAGCAGAGTGAAAATATTATTATCCTCCATTTGCCTGGAGAACCTTCCATTTTATCACCAAATACAATAGCAAAGATCGTTGTTGCGACTGACACAATAACTGCAATGACCCATTCATACCAGTGACGACAAAAGGCCAGTAATGCAACACCGATAATCATCATGATCAACTGGAATGTAGACAAGGAAAGTGTTGCTTTTTTGTATGTGCATTGTCGAAGCCATCAACAATTACTAAAGAATAACTGATAAACGGATTTTTGCAACCATAATGTCTGCAAACTATTCAGTCATGCAATGATATGAATGTTAGCTGATGCAAACTGTAATGACAAACAAAGAACCAGGCTTACTTTTTAATCTGATACAACCGATACTTAGAGAAAAATAAATGTTGAAATACTTACTGCAAGAGCACACGTTTGAAGATAACTGAGAATGCGGAAACAAATACAAATTTTTAAGGGTGGAAGTGATTAGGCCTAGTGCATCTGTGCGTTGATATTATTATAAATGCCATTCTGGCAAAGTTTTATTGCATACTGCACACTCAATTTCTATTATTGTCATCTTTATCCGAACATCATCGATTTCACAGTTATCACCCACTACAAACCAGCCTTGATTCATGTTTTATTTACACACAAGCACATCAATGTTACATTATATTGTAGTGAATCCTGACGAATATTCAATCTAGATGAAATGTTCACACACGCGATGAAAATATTTACAAAACCATAAATCAGCGTTTGTATTCATATTCGACTTACGGTTAGGATAATGATGATGGTATTACTTGTAGATGTGGTGTGCAGTGATTTGATAAGTATGATGATGAGTGCATAAAAAAGAGCGATACCTCTGTGATGTGAAAATAAAATAGTAGAACGAAAAACGTTTAAGGTTACAATAGGTAAAGTACGATTGTATATTGGTTATCCTTTAGTAGATTTGCGACAGACGGTCTACGATTCAGTTACGCTAACATTTTTATATGGATAAGTTCAAATAATAATAGATCAATTTGACAACGAGTATAATAGGTAGACGGTTTTCATGATATTCGGATATTAGTCACTTATAAATAACAAATAATTTCTAGTGATGCTGACCTTATTGTGATTTTTTTGTGGGACTATGTACGGTTCCGTTGAAGTGATGATTCACGAAAATTATGTACAATATAATACAGTGAGTTATTTAGACTTTCAAAACTTACATTAGGACAAAACCATATGTTTCATGTAGCGGAATATCATAAGTTGAGTTGAATCTGTCATATAATATATAGAATTTCCAATCACCATTTGTTACTTACATGCAAGATTCATTCTTGTCACAGATACTGTTTACTTTTACTTCTGACATTGCACTGAATCCCCAAGGTTATCACGGCTGCAATATTTTTACCGGATGAAACCATTAACTCCATCTTCTAGTGAACTGTCAGGTACGAAACATCATGATTAACGAAAACACGAAAATACTATCTTTCGAACTTGTTTTCTCAAAAACATATGAACAGATAAGCATTCATCAACATGTCTTACACATCAGACAAGTAGTTCAACATCAGTGAGTTACGAACTATCTTGAACAAATTTTTCTATCAACATACGTATCTGGCTCATCTAATATATCCACCTATCTAACATTATATCCTTCCATCTTTCTATCAATCTATCTATTTATCTGCCAATATCAAAGTAATCGATACTTTACAGTTTACAGCCGCAATCAAGACGATAAAACACTGAATGAAATCATCAAAATCATTTACTAAGTTACATTATGTTGTGAAAATCTACAAACTCACATCACACGTCTCGTTCGTTCACTTAAGACAATTCAGTACAATCAGCAGAATTTATAGTTTCAAACATCAACATATATCGATTGACATGTGATTACTATAATACTGGACTTTGGATCAAATAACAATCAACAAAATCTGAGAAAATCCGACGCAGTCTGAAATTGAATTGTAAATACAGTAAAAATAATGAATAAGCAAGTGAAGATACTTGGAAATGGAAAAGATAAACCATCTTGTTGATACTTTCTGCCCTAACTATCATCTAGAGAATGCAGACATAAGATTGAAAAATTACGAAAACATGAAAAATGTTCATTGTTTTGTTACTTATTTGATTATTGACCTATGTAATTCGTTTTGATCTTCAATTTTATTTTTTATAATGAATATGAAATTGTGAATATCTGTTTGCAGTCATGATGAGGGGCATTTATCACATATCCAATCACTGGACAATTATCAGTAGGGTTTCACTGTAGTGGTGAGTATAGAGATGATAAGCGACCTATTGCTCGATTCTGTCACCCTGTTCGAATGAGAGTGATATTATAAACGATGTTTTCAAGTCACAAATATTTAAATAAACTGAAAACCTGTGCTACTGTGAGATCAGTATTTGTACACATATAATACGAAAACATTTGCACTTAATTGTACTCACTCAATATTTATAGATTTTACAATCATTTGAACCTTTTTTCTCAAACTTTTTTCAGTTAGACATTATGACTGTTCATTGAAATAGTCCTTAATGATCTTTGAATAGGAAACAATAGTAGTTCTATTAAACAAAAAACAAGTAGTCGTCTGATATACTCTTTAGGTTTTTTAACAGTAATGTTGAATGAAATTACCTGAAATAAGATTGCTGGTAATAATATATTTGATAACAATGGTGTAAAGAGCTTTCTGGCATTCGAAAAACCAATGTTGACTTCTTAACGGATAATAATCACTTCAAAGGCACTGACATTGAACTCGGATTTTTTTGACTTGTTTGTACTGATTTCATACTTTTGGAGTGAACGGGGTTCGTAAATAATCATAATCTACTATATCAGTAAACGTATGTAGGTATTCTTTGTTTATCCCTATTTCTGTGAACGGTTTCGTTTTTCAAACAACCTAAGCAAATATATTCCCTTTGGTTGAATAAACCTTTCATTCTATCCTTAATTACCGTAAACATCATACTTCATGCCAGTCAATGTATATGATGTAGTGTTCACGGTCAGTCGTCAATCGTGTCACTATCACTTTCAATAAAAAACACAACTTGACTGCCTTTTGTTTGCCAATGTGTCGAATGAGACCGGTTATTTATTCATTTGCTTGAAAAGCGATCTTCATACATTGGAACTTGGTAAATTTGTTATCTATTTCAACGGATGTTTTCGAAATTTCTAAGTTCGGCTTCAAATCGTGATCAGGTTTATTCTCCAAAGAAATCAAAATCCACGTCAGACGAAAATATCAGAAATTAGTTAAAAAAGAAATATTTGTAGGTTAATTTATTCAAATTTTCTATAAGTGATACATTTGCAATTTTGAAGTTGATTCTTTCAATCGCCTGAATTTGCATCTATTTCTTACCTTGTCTGACCACTCGTCCTTGCTCTAGAATATCCTATATGTGCTTTACTAAAATACTTTCGCAATCGACATTTAAACGAAAAACAAAATGAAGAAAACTAAAAATTCAAGTTTCAGCAGCAACAGGAACCATTTGCCCTTTATATCATATTATTCAGTTATTTCCCAAAAATCATGTGTTGTTGTTATACCTTTCTACAGTTCGATGTTCAATTTTTCCCCGAACCCTTTGCTTCTAGTAATTAGAGTAGTCATAGTATGACATCATGTTTTGTTCAAAATCTTCAGCTGGCTTCCAAAAAATACTCCCGTTTTTTAATTTTTAATAACAGTTCTTTATCACCGTGAACAATCAAAAAATACCTACGAAGTATATAGTGCTTATATTTCATTGACATCGATATCATTCAATTGCAGGCTGTTAGTCCTGTATCAGGGATCGAAGTAATTGATAAAATTGTATAGTTCAGTGTGATAATTCGAAAAGGCGAAAAATAAGTAAGATGAGTATTTCATAAGAATAAAGTTTCATAGAAAGCTACAAACGGATGCATCTGTGGCGTTTGAAACAATGATCTTCAAGGTCTGTAACTATCGTATACTTTCGTCTTGTGGACCTCAAACCAGTAAACCGCGTCTGCCGACATATAACCCTGTCCACTTGTCAGTCAATTTTTGAAATTGTGCAGTATTTCGGTTTAGCCCTCCTGGCTTTTTTCCAGCCTGTTTCGACACCGTAAAACTCAGCTCGTCGGTTAGCCGGTGTTAGTGCGATTGCAACACATGTACCAAACACTTCAATCGATGAAGTTTCAATACATCCCCCACTGATATCATATCTCTAACAAGTTTTCGTTTCATAGAAAAGCACTGCATTGTTTTTTTGTCAATATGCACTGGCAATGCTTATGAGAAATCTGAAATGGAATACTGATTACTTACAAATATCTCAGACTCTCGCTGTTCATGTTTCACACTCATCACGTAGGACAGTGCAAACTGCCGTGATGTATATCTGTCTTTAGGTTACAGAATGGATATCCTACCCGTAAATGGATTTTCTACTCTAAAAGTGCACTCCGGCTCCAACAGTTGCAGTTTGATACGCGTACACCCAGTTCAGCAACAATAACACAATAACTCTTGGAGAAAACGTTCCAAATAATATTACACCTTCTAGATCCAAATTACCGCAATGGGTATCGGATTCTGGAAGAATAAGTGCTTCCAGTCCGTACTGTTACAGTATTAAATCCAAATATGGCTGTAGCCATATGAAATATCAAGTTTAAACAACACATGTACAGTTCGGGAGCAAACATAAAACTTCAAAATAAGTACAATATATAGAAATAATAACAATATACAATGATAAAATCTCAAAATGGAATCGAATAGAGTACCACAATGTCAACAGAAAGAGTCAGTTATATCACAACACAAATATATACATGGGGGGATTTTCCAAAAACAAAACATTGAAAATAGATGCTACACCACCTATGCATATTTATTGCAGATCAGAATCCTCGAAAGATAACATATTATGCTTTGAAATGTCTGTAAGGTGTACTTTCTTTTTAATAGTGTGATATATTTCCTCATCCACTGTGAATATTCATTGCATATTTGATTGATATATCGATATATTCATGTTTTCAACAATACACATGTAAAATAAGAAAACCAGAGAGCAATAAGCTACTCTTTCAGCTGGAAACCACTTCACTTGCAGGATAAAATGATGATCTACAAATTGGAGAAACGCAATTTCGAAGCAAATAAAATTCGACTTGATTTGATCAAGCTGCACACTCGAAGTCTACTCTTCACCTGAATCCTTTATAACTGTGAATCATTATGTACACTCCGATAAGCATGTCCAAAAAACAATGAGGTGAAGTAAAGGTTGGCGAAACATTTTTGAAAACTAAATAGATAAATGTACAAAATCATAAACGTCATTTGGAATCCTATTCGACATACCGTTATGATCATGATGATGGTATTCTTTGTAGATGCGGTGTGTAATGCTTTTATAAGTATAATGGTGAGTGCCAGTATTAGAGAGATACCTCTAAAATGTGAAAATATAGTATACAGCACAATAAATAGATGTGTACTGTAAGCGAAATACTAGTGATTGGTAGTACTTTCTAATATGTATGTTAGAAACTGTCTGCGATTCAGATGAGCAACAGCTGTATGTGATTACGTTCGAAAGATAATGAATGAATTAGACAAAATAATTTAATGAAGATTCTTTAACAGTCACCTTAAAAATGCAATCAATCGTTTATCGATTGTCTATCAAATCGATAATCACTATTGATTAGTCAGTTCTAGAGATGTTCCAAAAAATATATGGAAAATATTCAAATCAATCTTTAAACTTTCACTTACATCTAAACGAGACCATATATTTCATGTTTCTCAATATGATAGGTTGAGTTGAATCTGCGATGTGTGATCGTGAATTCTCAATCAACGTCATTTAATTACATGCCATATTTTTTCATACCACATATGTTATTTTCATATGCTCTTGAGATTGAACCGAACGCGTAAGGTAAAAGGTGGAAAAGTTTTATTGGCTGAAATCATTATTTCCCTCTTCGAATATTTTCGCAAAAATGCAGGAAAATACTAATCGTGATCATGAAATGCATGTAAATACATGAAAAGATAGAATCTTTTTACTTCATCAAATCCACTTTCAAGCACATGTGAACAGACATTTGTTTAGAACATTTCTTGGACTACAGAAAACAAGTTCAACATCAGTAAATCACGAAGTGTTTTGAGCAAATATTTCTTTGCCTAAATATATCTCCCTATCAATCTATCCATTCATCTTACTATCTCTCTAACAATCTTTTTATCAGACAACAAATCATTTTATAAACAGACTTTAAAGAAATCGATACAATTCATTTTATTGTCACATTCAAGGCAATAGTAAACTAAATAGAAACATCTTTATCGCATGTTCCGCGAATTTAATAATTCTCATCATATTTCGGCTGCCTTTGGTCACCATAATTCAACAAAATAACCAATAAACATAACCACGTACGTCTGAATATATTATTCGACAAGTGTTTACTTTACTACCGAGCTTTGAACCATATAAAAATTCAAAACAAAATTAGAAAAAATAACGTTGTCTGAAATTCAATTAAAAATATCATAAAGGTAGTCACACAAGCCGTAAAAATACTTAACATTTCAAAATATTACTTATCTGAGAGATCGGTTTGAGCTCATAAAATAGGTGAGAGAATGTAGACATCAGACAAACAATCATGAGAACATTAAACATTTTCATCGTTTTCTCAATAATTGAATTATATAGTATTTTCGAATGGTCCTCTGAACAAAAACGTCTATCGAAGAAATTCAATTAAAGGAGGCCCAAATTGCT